CTGTAACTCACTATTATTTGTCTATTTGTTTTCCTAAGAAACTATCTTGTAGATAACAATATGTAAAACAATAACCATTGATAATTTTCTACCACTTTGCCTGTAATTTGGTAAGCCCCCCCCCCGTTACTGTTATCCTTCTCTTACTCTTTAAAATAAAAAAAAAAAAAAAAATGAAGTTTGCTAAGAATGTCACTTGGAGAAATGTCTCAGTGGTTCAATAAATTGTTTTATGTAGATTTTGTGAAATAGACATTGCTTGTGTCTTATGAAGTATACTTCTTTGCTTGGGTGTCAACCCTTTTAAATTTAAAAATATGTGGCCATTGAGTTCCATTTTGCCTTCAAGAAATAAGATCAAGTAAACTACAGATTTAAGGAGTTAATGGAAGTGATGGAGAAGACAAACATGAGTGTCTCTCAGGTGCAGACAATGTAACAACATAGAAGAAACATGCATTTGTGACTTTCTTTTGGTATTAACAAGCCATCAAGATGGCAAATTTGCCTCAGTTTTTCTTAATGCAAACTCTTATTTCTGTATTATGAACTTTAAAGGCTGGATACTAGTGGGTTTCTTATAGAGACTTGCCAATCTTCCTCCAGGCCAACTGGTCTTACTCTCTGTGTTTCCTCCCTAGATCTATCTATCTATCTATCTATCTATCTATCTATCTATCTATCTATCTATTTATTTTGCAGTACTGGAATCCAGAGCCTTGTGCATGTCAGGCAAATGCTCTGCTGCTGAGGTGCACCCAGCCCTCCCATAAGTTTTTTAATGGGGCTGATGTAGGTTGTTCCTGGGCAATGACTGCTAGTTAGGACTTCAGACCTGTAACGCAGATGCTGGTCTCCACCATGAGTACTTCATTATTATACTGGAAAAATCAGTGCTGTGTTTGACCAAAGAGTGTCATAGGAGCTTTAATAAATTGCATCTATAAACCAGGTTCTAAAAGTATTGTTATTATTCCCACTAAGTATTTAGACATGTTAATCTAATGTTTGATATTTAACAAAAGTCAAATGAACCTCTGTGCCGTGATCTCAAGTGGGAAATGATCTGGGGTGAGTCTTCTCCCTTGATGCTTTATCTGTTCTCTTCTCTGTAAAGAGAAGCATTTTATTCATTCACTCATGATTCATTTGTCAAGCACCACTGAGCCCTTACTTGAAATCAAACATTGTTATTCACAACAGGAAACATAATGTAAAGTTCTTCTATAGTGTAGGCCTTATCCTAGTGGGGACTCCAGAACACCTAAGAGCAACAATTGAAATGTCATTTGTAAAGGAGGAGCTCTAGAAGTGTTCAGCCCCTAGCCAAAGCATGTCTTCCTAACATCTAGGACGAGCACACCAAGAGGTAACACCATGTGAAAAGCTATGGTTACTTGGCCAGACCACACGGACAGCAGTTCAGGCCATGGAAAGCTGATGAATATCGACTGTCATCACCAGGAGATCCACTGCATTGACTCTGTTCTCATACCCTTTCCCTCTATCCCTATGGCGTTTCACATAAAGCAGCAAATAACTCTGTAAATCACTGGTGTGCAGCCATTTTAGGAAGCCAAGGATGATTTGCCTATTTCCTCATTCTGTGAACAAAGTTTGTGGCCTTTTTCTTTTTCTTTAAGAAAAGTGCAAGGTGGGCACCTCCATCCAAATTCTGCCCGTTATGGCTTGTGTTTAGATGTCCCCAAAGCTTCATGCACTCATAGGTGGGGCTTTTTGGAGCTGGTTGGATTTAGGGAGTGTGATACTATGATTAAGGGTGTGTGATAACTAAATTAGTCCACTGATTGGAATTAGCATAGTTCTGGTGTAGATAATGGGAAAGCCCACTCCGGGTGTGGATGGTGCCACCCAAAAAGCTTGTAGTTTGTATGGGAGAAAAGGAAAAGGGAGCCTTGCTCTACTGCTGCTTTCTGCCTGCCTTGCCATGAACTGTTTCTCCTCTGTAATGCCCCTCTGCCATGCTGCTGTGTCTTGAAACCAGTTAAGTATGGCCTGAAACCTCTACAAACCATGAGCTGAAATAAACCTTTCCTTCTTTAACTTGTCTTAGTAATGAGAACAATAAATAAGACATGGGCTTAAGAAGATGATGTTATAAGGGGGATTTTTGTGTCCCCCAAAGTAGAGATATTCAACCCATACACCCCAATCTGGCAGTATTAGAAGGTGAGGGCTCAGGGATGAGATCAGGATTAGATGAGGTCAAAGTTTAGCGTTCTCACAGGCAAGATTATTGCTCTTACGAGTCAGGAGAGGGCTTGCTTCTTCCTTTTCTTTCTGCCATTTGTGGCTAGGAGGAGAATCAGCAATGTGCAACCCAAGAGAGTTCCCTCAGCAGAACCTCAGCAGAACTTGACAGTGCCAGCACCTAATCTCGGGTCTGTAGTCACCAGAACCACCAGAGACACCTGCCTGTTCTGTGAGTCCCCACTCTGGTGCTGTGTTGTAGCAGGTGGAGCAGATGAGACAGGTGTTCAGCAGGGAGCTGCCCCAGTATTTTACCTTATGTCTTAGTCTGTTTGCCCTGTAGTAACAAAACATAAACTGGGTGCTAGGCGTGGTGGTCCACGCCTGTAATTCCAGCACTCGGGAGGCTGAGGCAGGAGGATCGCTGTGAGTTCGAGACCAGCCTGGGCTACAAAGTGAGCTCAAGGCCAGCCTGAACTGCATAGTGAGACCCTGTCTCAAAAAAGACCAAAACAAACAAACAAACAAACAAAAAAAACCTAAAAAACAAAACATAAACTGGGAGCTTAGAAATGACAAAGATTTGTTCCTCACAGCTCTGGAGCTGGAAGTCCTAGATCGAGACACCAGTAGATGTGGTGTCTGGTGAGGGCTTGTCTCCTTGTTCATAGGGAAGGAGTGCCATCTCACTGCGTCCTCAGATGGTGGAGAGGACAAGGGACCTCCCTGGGTCTCTTTTATAAAGCTATTAACCATTCATCAGGGCTTTGCCCTCATGCCTAATCACCTTCAGAAACACTCCCCCTCCTGACATCATGACCTTGAGAGTTAGGGGTTTGGAAGAGAGGGACAGAAATATTCAGACCATTCTTCTCACTACATATTTAAGAGTTTGACTACATCACTGCCCTCACCCACCCCCCACCCCCCCGGGCAGTATATGCAGACATACGGACCAATATATATAAAATGCTTCTAATTTCAGCCAAGGCCTCTGTTACAGCCATTACGTGCCCTGAGTTTCTGCTTATAATCTGAAACAGTTTTCCTTTCAGTTACACCTTATCATCTGGCCCATAGACTTCATATTCTGACCAATGTCTCAGACTTATATTATTTAGAAAACTTCTTTGGTAATAAATGATATTTTATCCAAAACATTTAATGGCGCTGTGTTCTTTTGGGAAGCAACATTTATTTTTGTAACTGCTTTGAAAACAGCATGAGGGCAACTTTTTAATGCTAAAGAATCCTTTCTATGTGAATTTCAGAGCAAGCTCCCAGATGTCCATTGAAGCTCTGGAATACATCTTATGCACCACCCATGTTATTAAACAGGGACGGGGGGTTGCTGTTCAGGTAAGTGTACTGAGCCTACCTACCATCAATTTAAATAGGGAAGAATAATACACAAAACTCAACTTCTCAAGCTGTCCACTTCATAAATACGCCCGTGTATCCCGTGCAGCTCGGGATATTCGATGGATAACAGCTGCTGGTTCCCATTGCTTTAATAGATCATGCTGATAACATCCTTGGGAATAGTATCTTTTATTGTAGAGCCTGCCACAGTGCTGACACTCCAAAAACATTTTTGGGGTTCTGGCTGAGAAGACAGTAAAGCCTCTCGAGTTTAGAACAGGGCCTTGCAAGTTAAATCTGTTTGTGTTTGGAATTATACAAGTGTTATTTCAGAGGCAAAGACCCGAAGGAACAGTTAACAGGCAATTTTTAGAGTGGGTACTTATTTCTCACCAGAGACATGTCACAGCCATGTTAAAAGCTGCCTTTGATATAATTTTAATGATGTGGCCCGTAAGAAAGACATTTCACAAGCCCGGCCCCTCTGTGTGGCAGTCGCTTCTCTGCCTGTGAAAACTTTCCTCTGGTCCAGTTTGCAAAGATCGAGCTGCTCTGAGTTCTTGTGATATCTGAGATTCCAAAATCAGCCTTGCCATTTTCGGAAGTTTTATTTTTTGGTATTGCTAGTCTCGCTTTAAGCTGATGCTATGTTAGGTTCAGCACACTGACCCGAATCCGCCTTTTCTGCTCTAATCCCTGTTTAATAACGACACAGGTAAAGCTCTATTCCTGAGACCCGGTGAACACCTGGAGCTTGCTTTCAAAGGCAAGCATTGGAGAGCACAGGGTCTCTCGCACCCGTGGAAGGAAGCGCCTAAGCGTCCTGGCCTCCTCCAGCTTTTCAGAGGGGCGACTCTGTCCTTGGAGGCGAGTCCTGCCTCCCCGCTGGCCCGGTGTCCGCCCGCACGAGCGGGTCAGCGTCTCAGACCCCTCGGAGAACACCTGCGGGGCAGCGAGAAGGGCGGGGCTGCGGGAAGCTGGCCTCGCCAGGCACGCGGGCAGAGAAGTTTCCTTTGTCAGCGTGACCACGTGGCGTCATGGCGGTCGCCGGGGGCAGTCACCAAAGCAGCCCTGTCCGACAGCTGCGCGCGGATTTAGGGACTCGCCAGGCCACACACAGGAGCCTGCAGATTAAGTCCCAAACAGCCCGGCACTAGGGGGCAAGAACGGGCCTCAAGGGAGGGAGGGGCGAGAGGCGGGGCCGGTGGTGGGAGGGGCGCGGCCCGAGGCGAAGGGGGCGTGGCCTTGGTGCCGGCGCGGGTGTGGGGTTAGAGGCGGGGCGCGGGCGGGTGGTGCTCCCGGCGGAGGCGGGTTCGGGGCGGGGCAAAGGGCCTGACCCAGGCTGCGGGGCAGGGCCGGGGGCGCGGAGCGCGCGTTGATTGGCAGGGGATGGGGTGGAACTCCAGGCACGCGGCGAGGGCGGGGCCGAAGGCAGGGACGGAGGTGGGGACGAGTGAGCCGACGGGGCGGGGGCGGTGCTCTGGCGGGCCGGGCATGGCGTCCATGGCGGCGGCGATCGCGGCGTCGCGCTCCGCAGTCATGAGCGCGAACCGGCCGCTGGACGAGCGGGAGCGGAAGCGCTTTACCTACTTCTCGTCTCTAAGCCCCATGGCCAGGAAGATCATGCAGGACAAGGAGAAGATCCGAGAGAAGTACGGGCCCGAGTGGGCGCGGCTGCCGCCCGCACAGCAGGACGAGATCATCGACCGCTGCTTGGTGGGGCCGCGCACCTCAGCACCCTCGGATTCGGGAGACCCGGGGGACCGCGCACATTTCCCTGGCCTGCGCGGGCCTACGGGCCAGAAGCTGGTGCGCTTCGGCGACGAGGTTGGCGCTGGGGGCTGGGAGGGTCCGGGAGGGGAGGGCGCGGTGAGGGCGCGGGGCGCTACCAGCCGGACGGAAATCGGGAGCGTCCGACCAGGGTTCTGGTCCAACTCTGCCCGTTGACCTCTGTATGCCCATGGGTGAGCCTCAGTTTCCGCCCTGTGAAAGCGGATGGTACCACCCGTGCCTGCCGCGAGGCACTCAGTGCCTGGTGTGTTAGTGTTTGTGAGGAGCTCCGGGAAAGTGAAATGGCCAGGCGCGATCCGGAGAAGAGGAGAGGAAGCGCCTTCCAAGGTGAAGGGGCAACGCCCACTGCCCTGAGACGCGTCCCCAGTAAGCTCGGTGTGCAGCATGTGTTTTACGGATTTGCGTGACAACCGCGTTTTTGTAGTGGAAAACCAGAGAGGGGAGAAGTTTAAGTGCTCTGTCGAGCCACTGCTCTCAGGGAGATCTCAGACTTGCAGAGGGACCATTGCTGTGGAGGGGATACGAGAACCTGCTGTGAGCAACTCAGCACTCAGTCACAGAAGCCCCAGGAATCAGTTTGGTGCCCTTGGAATATGCGCTGTGGCTAAAGTGTGGAGGTGAGAGATCCACTCCCAGTTCAGGCCCCTGCTGAGGCTTCGGGAGGAGGAGCCCGGGAGTTTTCCGAGGAAGTTGTGCATGTGGAAGGAATTCAAGTTAAGAATGAGGTTTAAGTTAGATTTTCAGGCTGAGTGTGGAGACGTACACTAATTCAAAATGTTTGTGGTCATAAGCCCACTTAAATGTCATGGAAGTGTGGAAGTACGGAATTGTGCTGCCAACATTGCCTTTTTCTGGTGGAATCAAAAGAAAATTCTCCTCTGGACTTTAACCTCCAGGGGCTTTGCCGGGAAAAACAAGGGTGTGGTACACTAGGGAGATGAAAATGTAGGTTTGAAATGCAATTCCTAGACCTGGAGCATCTTTAATGTGAAATAAGTACATTTGTGAGGACATGTGTGGTGTTTTTGCTCAGGTTTAGGCAATGACAGAGCAGTCAGCTCCTCATGGAAGAATCATGAATTAATAAAGCCTACAGGAAGTGAACCTGTAGGTACTTAACACGTGTTGGACTGTGTCTGTCACTGGCCCTCACTGGGTATCCAGCTGAGAGTAGTGGTATGTGTGCACATCATTAAAAAGCTAGGTCACGCCTGGCAAGCGCGAGGCCCTGAGTTCGATTCCCGGTACCAAAAAAGAAAATAGTTACCAAAAAAAAGCTAGGTCACATTGGAGGCTATGGTTACCAACAAGGAAAGATGTGGCCAAGTATTTACTGTAATTCCTAATCTGGTGCCAGACCAGGCTGTTTCTGAATTTGTAGACCCAGTGTAATTTAAAAACAAGTAAAACATGTGGTGGCTACCACATTCCTTTCCAAGAACAGCCAGGCCTGTTTTTGAGAGTTGAATATCACCTTTGCAAAATTGGCCTTAGAGCAGGCCCTGGAATGCCGCTGACCATCTTCGGCACTGATGGCAGAGGAGCACACAGCACCTGGATTCTCGCGATGTTGCCCAAGGGGGCATTTTTCCCTGCAGTGGCTGTGTGGTGGGATAGCACTGGGGAATTTTAATTCCATCAGACTGGGTGAGAAGTTGGCACTTGATGAAGTCTGTAGTCTCATTGTTACCCCCGGAAAACCCTTCTTGGAGAAGGGCCAGCTCCTGGGCACGAGGGATGATAGGTGAGGGCAGGGTAGGGGATAACTCCTAGTTAGGATGCTACACAGGCTGGCTCGGAGATAGATGGTCCATGATTGAGTAAGAGGACCCTAAGCTAAATTGAGTAGGGCACTCCATGGTGTCTCTTCCTTCTTGATCTGTCTTCTAACATAGTCTCAGGGCTTCCACAGCCCTTTCAGCAACCCTAAAGGGTGCTGCCTGTTTCTTTAAGTACCTCTTCTATTGCCAATAATATAACATTTTTGTGTCACACATAGCAAATGTGACCTGCTCCAGTTCCATCCTGGTCCTGGGCCAGCTCACCCCTCCTTAGGCAACCTGGTGGTCCCTCATTCCTGGGAGGTCACCATATTGATGCCAGATTTAATGTAGACACTGAATTGGCATAGCACACTGCAGCCCACAACTCCTGGACTCAAACAATCCTCCCACTTCAGGCTACCGAGTAGTTGGGACTACAGTTATGAGCCACCACTGAGTCCCCTGGTGAGAGTTACAGGATTCCACATTCTCTGCTACATTTTTGGCTGCAAACAAGCCCTGAACAGGTGACCAGGACACTTGGGTAGCAGTGCATCCTGTTTGTGTGGCGCTTATTGCCTGCCTCACTGATCCAGGGAGTGGGTGGAGCTGGCAGGAGTGGTATTTCCATATGCCAGCCCAGGACATGATCTGGATTTTGCATGCTGTAGAACATGGAGTTCTGAGACCTGGGAGCCAGGCAGCTCCATCCCCTCATTGGCAGCTTTGCATGACCAGCTGCTGCCTTGGGCCCACATCCTCCTCCTGCAGGAGGCTGGAGTCTTGTTAGCTGTTCTCTTACCCCTCTGGGCTTTGGAACTTGGATTCCCAGACACCTGCTACACTACCATAGGTTTGGTTTTTGTGTTTTTTTGGTCTTTTTGAGACAGGGTCTCGCTATGCAGTTCAGGCCAGCCTTGAGCTCACTTTGTAGCTCAGGCTGGTCTCGAAAATCCTCTTGCCTCAGCCTCCCGAGTGCTGGGGTTACAGGCGTGCGCCACCACATCTGGCTCTACCATAGGTTTTTTTAAGGCCTGGTGGCTTTCCTACCCTCCAGCTGCCACAGTTGTGGAGTACCTGTGGTCAGCAAGCCTTGCTGAGCTGCTGCATCCAGTGGCTCCTGGGCTGCCTGCAAAGGATCCCACCCCACCCCAGGTCCAGACTGCTGAGGGCCTGGGTGCTGACCAGCCTACTTGTCTGGGTTTTTTCAATAAACTAATTTATTTAAAAAGTTGCACCAGTACAGTCTTGTTAAACATTTCACTCCATGCTGAAGCAGCATTCTACAACGATTGATAGGATCCATCCAGAACTTTTCTTAAACTTTAAGTCTGTGTTAAGTTTGAGTTGCTGCATGGTGCCTGGGACCGGTGGGGCCTCCCCTTCCTCTCCTGTATTGGGTTTGAGTTGGGCTCACTGTGTGGACTCTGGATGTAAGACTTGGGACGGGTGAGGTCTCCCCTTCCATTCCCACAGTCACAGCTCAGACTTTTCTTTTTTTCCTCCTTTGGAACAAACAAAAGTTATAATTTGCAAGTTGTTTTCTTGGTTATTAGAGCTTGTTTTTTAAGGAAGATGGAATATATGAATTAGGATTCTCTCTGTCTGTCTGGCTTATCTATGTAAAGAAAAGACAACAGGGTGGGTGTGGCTTCTCGTGTCCCTCTGCCTGGTGCTCAGTGCTCAGCTGCTAGGCAGGCATTGAGACGTGGCCTCATCCAGTTCCACAGGCTGTGTGGGCCAGCTGAGAGCAGCCTGGGGCTGGTCCCACAGGCATCCCCTCGGATGGAGCTTTAAGGTTCTTCACCCCACGTGGCACCTCCCTGGAGCCTGGGACCTGTGGCAGGGTGACCACATGGCCTTCCCTTCCCAGGCACCTTTGCCCACTAGTTCCTGTGGGAGGGTGGCCCAGTGGCAGCCAGGGAACAAGTTTTGAAATGACTTATTCACGGCCATGCAGGGTGGGAGGGCAGGAAACTTGTGGGCAGGTTTGAAGTCATCTTTTAATGGACAGGAATCACTTTCACACCCTAAGCAAGAGATTTCCATAGTACTGGGGAAAATAGCCATTTCTTCAAAATAAATAAATGAATGACTGCCCACCAGGGAACAAGTTTTGAAATGACTTCAAAACTTCTGCTTGCCTTCCTGCTTATTTTCTGTTCATTCCCGTCCAGTTTCCTCCGCCCACTGTTTCCTAGTCCTATTACCATGGTGAGTGGCCCTGGTTCTGCTTCTGCTGTCTCTGAATCTGCGTCCACGGTGGAATGTACTCACAGTTAAGTTATAACTGCGTTCTGTCTGGGAGCTGCAGATTTGTGTTTCCGGTTATGGAAACCCCCCCATCTCAGCAGAGTTAAATATATCCCAAGCCCGAAGGAAAGGCACCAATTCCATAAGTATGTAAATAGTTGCTAGGAATAGGCAGTTGGTAAAAAAGAGCACATTTTAACCATCCTTCTCTGTTAAACAGATTTATTTCTTTAGAGCAGTTTTAGGTTCATAATAAAATTGAATGGGGAAGTACAGAGTTTCCAGTACCCCTGCCCACACAGATGGTCTCACCAGTCAGTACCCCCTCATGGGTGCTCCCATTGTGGCCCATGAGCCTATGTGGACACCTCATCATCACCCATAGTTCGGAACTCACATTAGGGTTTCCTGTTGGCAGCACACACTCTGTGTGCCTTGATGAACATGGAACAACAGGGTTCCCAGGCTGCATCTTGCAGAGTGGTTTTAGTGCCTTGGGGACTCTCTGTGCTTCCGTTTACCCCCACTGACCACTGATCTCAGACTCCACAGTTTTGCCCTTTCCAGAAGGTCATACCATGGGAGCTATGCAGCATGTAGCCTCTTCTGATAGACTGCTTGTACCTGGTAACATGCATTCAAGGTTCCTCCACATCTTTTTATGGGTTGATGGAGCCTCACTTTTTAGTACTAATACTCCATTGTCTGAATGTAGCACAGTTGGTTTATCCATTTACCTATTGAAAGACAACTTGGTTGTTTCCAAATTTGGGCAAGTATGAATAAAGCTGCTCTGAACATCTGTGCGCAGGTTTTTGTGTGAACAGAGGTTTTCAATTCAAAGACATGGTTGCCTCACCCTAGTCTTTAACACAGACTGGAATTTGCCAATGGACTGTGCCCAGGCCTCAGTTGATTGACAAGCACAGGGTGCTGTGTATCACTCTGTACTGTTGCTTTATACTGAAGTGGCCCAAAGGCTCTGGATCTTTGAGGTACAGACAGCTCACCAGCAAAGAC